GGGGTTGTTGTGACCAAAGTGCAGATGCAATGCAGGTGATTGTCTTCTTTTGCGTCTCTCTCTCTCACTTGCAGAGGGAAATCTCTACAGTGCCACACTCCCCCAGGACCTCCCCTACTCAGAGATTTTGGGACTCCTAGTGTTCCCACTGCCCTGAACAACACCTGCCTTCACAAGAGTGGATTTCCTTTGAGAGATTTATGGGGCTACAGGCAGCACCTTGTGCCACAGGGACTATCTGACACAACATGTGGTCTGGGTGGGCATCCCCCCTGCATCTAGCCCAGCCTCAGTACACCGTTATAAAAACTGCACCTGGGGATTGAAGGTTAGGGGTTACTACTCTCCGCAGCCACACGATCCCACCATTTCTCAAGAGAAGCCACCTCTCTCTGCCAGACCACTGGCTGCCGAGTTTATCACATGAGCTCTTATCTGCTGCACTCCCAGAATTCAGTAACACGCATCCGAAGACAGGTCAGAGCCGCCCCATCACTGAGAGGAACAAGGACTTACTGGCCCTGTGACCAGGGGACACGGAGACCACATGGGGGAAGGCTGGGAGAGATGTACATCCGCAGCAGTGAAATGAGTCAACATCTCTCTTTCTATGTCTGTTATGGTGCCAAAGATAATAAAGTAAAAGAAAAAGAAACTGGTTTGTGTGTGTGCAGAGAAATAAGGGGAACTGACAATGGGAATGGACTAAAAAAAATACGCACTAAACTAAAACCAGTTAGGCCTACTAACTAGATGCTCTAACAGGACTTTTCCATCTCTAGTGTCCATGATTCTCTTTTTTAAAAAAACGAAAATTAAGAACGATATGTTTATCTTTTCTTTTTAAGCTGTACTTTAGGAATGATTAGGAACTGAAATGAAGGGATGAAAGCAAGCATTTCAGAGAACTTATGCATCTCCTGTGTGTGTTAACCTTAACATCAGTGGAGGTGAATTACTGGCTTCTGCTTGCTCCTGGCAGCAAAAGAAAGGACAATAATGATTAAAGTGTTATAATATGAGGAATTGTAAAGAGATGCTGATCCATAGCTCTTTTCTTTTAGGCAACTTGAATGCAGAGGAATAACAGCTCGACTTTGGGTTCTGGTCCAGCTGATACTTACTTGACTTCTTCCTAATCCAGAGCAAGGATGCTGTGAAATGGAAACCTAACGTCCCTCTGGGGCTAAGGCCAGTTATTTCACTGAAAAGGCATGGAGCTTTAGGGGGGTTAATCTTCCTCTAGGTTTTCACTCTAGGTGGGATTCACCAGGTGATTGGAAGCTGGGGAAAGGAGGGAGGATGACCTCTTTCTGCCTCAGTGCTGAGCTGGGGAGGGGCAGCTGTGCACTGGCACTGATACAATACAATAGCAGCTGCGTGGTGCCTCCCTGTTTACACGACAGTTGTATATGCTCAGCTAAAAATAATCTCCTACCTCTGTCTCTCAATTGGTGAGAAAATTAGCTAATGTTTGCCCAGAGTCTGAAAAGATGAGTTCATCAATATTATAATGACTTCCCAGAGATCCCTGGGAGGAGAACGTAAGTGAGCCAAAGCTAATGATAACAACACTATTTTTGTAGGGCACTTACTCTTTACAACTTACGCTCCCTTGACAATACCATTAGAAAAGCTCCCTCCTTCCAGAAGTACGTATGCAACTGAAACTTAATTGTAATAAAATACTTTGCAAAGCTACACTATACACGCAGATATATCCCCACTGTACTCCAGAGTCAAGATATATTTAAGTGCAGCAGCACCACAGTGTCACTGCTCAAAGCAGCGCGACTAAATACCCTTCTTCAAGGAGAACACTAAGCCCTCTTCACACAGGCCATTTTCTAACGAGTCATGACTGCCGCATGCCTGCAAATAAGGCTAAATGCTTTCACAAAGCCACGTGGGGCTGGGGGTGAGGTCACTGGAGACTTCAGGCACGGAGAAACAATCTCTCAAGCCAGGCAAAGGAAAACCGGCAGAGCCGTCCCCGCTATGCAGGGAGACAGCTGATCCGGGAAGAGACTCAAGTCCTGGAATCTGCAGGAAACCTAAATTAAACCCCTGTTTCTAATCATATCTCTACGTGACTCGCTCTCCATTCTGGAAGAATCCCCGGTGGGAAATACAGCTGGGGAGTATTTCAGCTGCGATGATGTCAGCCCGCTCCTGATAGGCTTCTCCATAAGGTGACACTTTGCTGGGTGAGACTCTTGTGCCTGGCTCTGGAGTTTTACAGCCTCAGGCTGGGCTTGCTTTCTGCCAGAGGATGGCACTCCACCCCCTGCGAAGGCGCTCTTCCCCGCACCCAGGACTGCAACACCTCACTTGCACTGACAGATCTGCAAACGAGACATGGCACAAATGCTACCTGCTAATTTGTATCTCCTCTGCTGGTGCAGGGACCGGTGGCCTGGCTGCAGAGAGAGAAATGAGAGCAAGAGATGGAAACCGCAGATGGGAGATTGCTACTTTTGAAATCTCATTATTCAAGGCACCAGGGCAAATTACAGTAACTGGTCCTGATCCAAGGATGGTCCTCTAATCACAAAGCCTGAAATGCACCAAAATACCGTTGAGGGGTGGGGAAAAAAATCAAGTCTTTATATTGACAGCACCAGAGGCGCAAGTTCTATCAGCTGTGCAGATGCACGCATATACAGGAACAAAATCCTGCAGGGAATCTGCACGTTTGACATAAGAGAGGGGATGTGTCTCATGGAGCGATTTACCCCGTATGTGCAGCTGGGGAAGGATGGGCCACAGACTGCTGCGACGGTAAGAAATTTTTCATGCAATGTGCTCCTCTGTACCGTCGTCGTTTGTTTTTCTTCTCCAAACTGTCAGCCTGAGGTACTTTACTACAAGTGTCCACATCCAGCTCCTCTCTCCCTCTCTCTCATTCTGGCTCTCCAGCGCTGAGGATGCAGTATCAGGGTTGCACTCAAAACAAACAAAAAAGATTTGCAACAAGATGATTTAAAATGAGTACCTCTAGGAAGCAAAATGCTATCCAGTATATCTGAACTGCTACAGCCTCAACACAGGCGAGTCTAAATGGCTCAGAAAATGGACAGCATCAGGATAACACTTTAGATCAATACGTACTCATTATCAACCTAAAAATACCTTTGGACAGTTACAGGTTTTCTTCCTACATTGCAAACCAACAAAGAAACAAAGGTCAGAAGCACAGCCTGCCCAGCCACCTAGATGGTTTTTCTTTCCAAATTTCCCTTGAACACACAGTTCACGTGAGCCATGCAGTGTTTAAACCACCTGCAACCGAAGCCTCAGTGAAACTCTGTGGTGCATTTCAGTAACTTAATGTGTGCGATGGAGCCATTCCCAGGCAGCTCCAAGTTTTCAAGCCATGGAAATTCACTCCCTTATGACCTACCTACCTCTCAAGGGTAGGATCTGAGCTGAATCTAACCTGAGCTTTCTGATGTGGAAGGTAAAAAACACCTATCACAATGCAAAACATATCCTCTTGTACTGCTTACACTGTTTTTTATATTTTAATCCAAAAACATGAAGATGATGTAATTCCTGCTCTGGGCTCTGCAGCTATAAGAAAGACTCATTTTATATCCACGAGACTACATTTATCATCAGTGTGACGCTGATGGCTCCCCTGGCATGGCAAGGGGGATGATTTTTGGACCACAGAGGTCTCACAGAGGGACATGAATTACAAAGAACCAACCCCACGCGGACCCAGAGCAACTGAGATGCGCTGAGGAAAGCTGCACCTGGGGGGCCAGAGCATGCACCCCAGTCCAATGTCCCCACCCCACCATGCGTTGCCTTTACCTGTGCTCGATGCTCCCCAACTGCAAACTGTATCACAGCAATGCCTGGGCTATGGCTGTCTTCAATCCTCTCCACAGTGCTGGAGTCTATTTTCAGGTCGTTGCTAATTTCCGCGCTCTGGATGAAGTCTTCTGTTTTCAAGTCCTCGACTTTCTTCAGCTCCCCGTTAGCCAGCTGAATGATCGACCCCTTCATGAAGTAGGGGGGCAGCGTGGGAGGCGCGGTGGCAGGGGACGCGATGGATTGTACCACGGGCAGGTGGATCTGTGCCTGCACCATGGTGGCCTGGTAGGCGGGCTGGGTGGTGAGGGGCTCCGCGCTGAAGTTCTCGCTTTTGGGGACAGCGGTGGTGACGAACGTGTGAGGCACTGCTGCAAACTGAGGAGATGTCGTGACGATGGCAGGCGCCACTCCCGACGGCTCGACGGCCGCGCCACCGACTGGTATCAGCAGGGACTGGGTGCCGGGGAGCGGGAGCTGTCGGGGGTAGCCGATGGCTTGCTGCTGCCCGCTCAGGTAGCCGATCACCGGTGGCTGGGTCCCGGCATAGAAGGCTGTCGCCGGCAACCCAACGGGGAGTTGTTCGGAGGCGCTGTGGGTAGTCTGAATGACGGTGTGAGGGGACAGCGTGGCCACCGCCTTCACCCCCTCGTGGCCTAGAGCCTGCTGCGGAGACAAGGCGTAGGAGCGGTGGGCTGGCTTTCCTAAGTGCAAGCTTCCCTTGTCGTTGAGGGTTGAGGGAGAGGTCTCGCAGTTGGTGGCTTGCTGCACCTCCATGTCCGCCGTGGGCGTGCTGCTGTTGGGGACCACCATAACGGAGGCTCGGACACCTGAGGAATCCCGCACACCGTACTCAGCGGGGCTCGAGTGGACCACCACGTGCCTGGTCTCGTAATGATGGGGAGCTGGTTTATTGCCTGCTTTGACTAGACCCATGTCTGTGGAGGGTGAAATGCCGTACCTCCGGCTCTTCTCTATCTCGCCGTTCAGTACCTCCTTGGCCTGCATCACCTGCAGCCGGCTGCTCTCTGGCTTCTTGGGGGGATCCCTGGTGACAAAGTGACTCCCCGAGTCGGTGTACTGCACCACCACTTGGGAGGAAGGGCCGAGGGTGAGGGTGTGTGGGATCACTGTCTGATGGGGGTGCAGGGGGACCGGGATGGTTGGAGGAGAGACGTTCCTAACAGTGCTCTGGGAAGAGCTGGAAATGTGGACATACTGGTTCTGCTGGGTGGGTGGAGGAGACCCAGCGGCGATCAGTCCAGGCGTCCTGACCAGGTGCGGCTCAACTTTGTGCCCCTGCTGGCTTAAGCCGCTCATGCTGGCCAGCAAAGTGGAATAAGCCTCCAGCTGGGAACGCTGGGATGGAGTGGTCGCAACGGCCGTGGCCGCCGCCACGGCGCCCGTCGCAGAATTGGCTGTTGGGGAAATCAGCTGTGAGGGGATGAATCCGGTGTATGATCCGCTGTACTGGGGCCCGACGAACTGAAAGGTGTGCTGCAGGTGTGTGTACTGCACAGGGGAAATGGGTGTCCCTGACTGGGAGAGGGCAGGTGAGTACACCGTGGGAAGAGTCGTGGAGGCTGGAACAGAGCGGGGCGCGCTTGGCGGGGAATAGTCCAGCCCTGCAGACAGCGACTTGTGCAAACCCTGCTGCAAGCCCACCTCCACCGACGATGTCCCCATGGGCCGGTGCCGGCCCCCCAGGCTGCTCTGGGCACTGGGTGTGCTGGGGAGCCATGGTAGGTTATCCGCACGGTGGTTTTCATTTGGCAGGACTGGCTTCACGTCCGAAGGCAGGCTGGTGGCAGGGATTTCTCGTTTCTTAGGTGGCAGGCATTCATTGCTCCGCTCTTGGTTGGATTTCATCTTTCGCCGTCCCCCCTCCACTGTGCTTACTTCACTGTCTGGCTGGCTCTGATTTCAGTCTGATAAACGGAAA